TGGTAGTGGTAGTGGTGGTGGTGGGACGAGAGGTTGTCGTCGTAGTGGTGGTAGGGCGAGTGGTAGTAGTAGTGGTGGTGGTAGGACGAGTGGTGGTGGTCGAGGAGGTTGTGCTCGAGGTAGAGCGAGATGTGGAGCTTCGGGAAGAGGTGGAGGAAGCACTGGAGGAAGCGCTGGCGGCGCTTGAGCTAGACGAGTGAACAGAGCCCGTGACGGGGACTACAGTGGAGCGTGTATCAGAGCCACAGGTGTAAAAGTGAACTTCCATGCGATGAATGAAAAAGACACTGCCGTCAGCCAACCCCGATGTGGCACGCAGTCGCAGGGTGGTGCTGGCCGACGCCAAGGCGAGGAGATTGGCGGTGACCTATGCCGGGGAGAACATCCAGTGAGTTGGGAAGTTGTCGTTGCCCGCTTTGGCCAAGCTCATGCCAAAACAGAAGAGACAGTGCTTTTGAAAAGACGAGCGTACCGTGACCGTGCCGTGCGAGCTTCCCGTGAGGGTGCTCAAGTGGGTGTAGGCCTGGTTTTGAGCGGCTGCTTCCAAGACGACCGAGTCCTGTGCGGTGTGAGGGCCATTGAAGCTGTATATCACAGAGAGCTGGGCGGCAACTGCACCGGTCAGGTCAAGGGAACGGGAAATGCTTGGGTCATTTGCTGAGCCCGTGCGACGCGCAAGCTGCAGACCATCAGCGAATAGAAGGATGGTGTAGTCTGGATTGAAAAGCTGCCACTTGTCGAGGAAGGGGATGTTCCCAGTGTTGCCGGAGAGCGAGCCCCGAAGCGGGTCAATGGCAGTGTAAGAATAGCAGTCGTTGGGCACGCTGAGGGTGGCGGCCGTAGCGGCTTGTGTGGTGCTGCTGGAGGAGTGGTGTGAAGACGTGGAGCTCGTGGAGGTGATTTGAGTGGCCAGGGCTGCCGACGTCAGACTGAGCAGAGCCACCAAGGCTAGGCGCGTCGTGCTCGGGGGAGTGTGTCGCAGCATCATTGTTGGTGCGGGGTTTCTGGGACGGGGAGAGGTACGGGAAAGGCCGGGGCTTGGGTGCTGCTCTACCGGCAAGCACTTGAACGATGGCCTACGAAGCGTGTCGATGCTGTCTGGACCACACACAAGGGTCTGGGCTTTCCGGCAAACGAAGCAGCGGGGGTCGCAAGGTCAGGCAGCTGTTAATAATGTTGGGGCGCTCAGTCAGCGATGGTGGGTCGGTGACAGGTGTTGGTGAGTTTGGGTGGGGCTGGATACAGCGCGTGTCGACCCTCGATGGTCGAGACGACGTCTGTACGGGCGGTGGCGCAAGATGCCGGCTGATGGCAGCGCGGTGGAAATGCGCTTCGCCAGTAGGCGCCACGCCGAAGCAACACCCTCCTGTTTGCATGTTGATGTTTGATGCTGCGTCGCAGGGGAAGGCTTGGTATGTAGGAGCAAGAGCGGCATCAATGAAAAGGGAATCAGAGAGGCGTGGACTTGGCAAAGTACAAGTTGCTTGGCTAAGCAGGTATTGAAAGGTGCAAGCGGTCGCGGTCACCATGCCTGCACGTCGAGCTGAGCCACACGAGTAGACCAGCAGATCATCCACAACAGAAGCCAAGTCAGCAAGGAAGCCAAGTCCAACAGCCAAGTCCCGGACATTCCAAAGTGTGCCCGTGCCTGGGCGACCCGTGGTATTATCAGCATGTCAGACATCCGTGGGCGCTGTGCCAGGCGACGGAATGTCAGACAAATTCTTGGCGGTGAGGGGGGTGAAGGTCACTGTTTTCGCGGGTTTTGACCTGCGGCATGTCAAGGGATGTAAGACGTAACTGACATTGACCGGCATGATCGATATGACAAGATTGCTCCGACGGGTTTTGACTCGTGACGTAAAAGTCATCTAGCTCCTTCCACCTTGAAATTGCCGTGTTTGTGGCGTTTTGACCTGTTACGTGATGAATTTCAGACGCCAACCTATGCGAGCGAGGAACCATGGAGACACAACCAATCCAAGCGTGTGCGTGTGCGAGATGGTGGTTATGATAAGCGAAAAACATACAGTCAGTCATGATTTTCTCAGAGGTGGTGTATCAAAAACCTGGTGTTCGATCCACTCCAGTAGCCCTTTTGTACCTCCCGACATCGCCACTCCTCTCCATGGACCCATTCAACTTCCTCCAGATTACCGTGCAAGGTGTGGGCTTTTTTTTTGAGAGGAGCGCCCAACCGTCGGGTGGTGTACTCTTCTGGGTCGGGTGCACGCTACCAACCGGCCTTGACAGATTTCTACCTTGACTCTGTCAGTGTTGTTGTCTGGCCATGGTGATAGAAAAGTCTGGGAATTTGACGTGTTGTCTTCGGTGGGGACACGTGCGTCCTGAGCTTCGCGCCCCTGCTACTGGCACATGACACGACTCGTTGGCAGTATGCCAGACCCATACCAAACCCACAAGTTTGGCTCTGAAGAGAGATGAGGTGGCAGCTTGTGCCAGGTGTCGTCCGTGTATGAGGACGGGAGCCGAGTGGCTGATTTCGAAATCGTCGCGGGTGTCGCTCTGCTGCCACATGCTGCTAATGGAGCGGGCGGGAGGCCCGCCATGGCTTATCGTCCCGACCGTCATGGGGCAGTCTCGGGCAGTGCCGCATTGAGACAGACACGGTCGGTTTGTTGGGCGACAACGAGCTGGCGACGATCCGACGCGGCTGTGGCCAAACGCGATGCAGTCGCCGCTGAGTGACAGTCCCAGTCTATCTGGCCTGTATGTAAAAAAAGGAAATCGTCTTGACGTCATGGAGACTTGTGGGTAGTCTCATCTGTCCGTCCTCACCCCTAAAGTTACCACTGGTCACACAAACGTGCCGTCGTATCACCACAGAAACCCCCCAACAGACATGTATTGTTTACTATCCCACGTACACACCCATGAACCCACATTCCTCCTTACCATAATGGCAGCTCGTGGTTGTTGGTGGTCGACGCGAATAGATGGGTGAGGCAGACAAGGACCAAACCCGGGGGAATTTGGCCCTGTATTCGCATGCTGAGGTCGCACTCTACATCACACTCCTCTCCCTCGACGTTTCCCACCCCCTTTTCCGACGGTTGGTGTTTCTACCCAAGGGTGTGTGTGTGGGATCCATCCACCATCGTCAATACCTGCGCGGACAGCACGCGAAGGGTTAAACAAAGTTTGCCACCCACGCCACACAGCACAAAAACCTCAAAACAAGACACCACTACTCTAGACAATCCACCCACCCACACTCTGCCTAACAAGAATGTTAATGAGGGCGAAGGACTATGGCCTGTGGTTGGGGTTGTCATGTGTCATGTGTCATGTGTGGCTGGCTGGCTGGCTGCCTGCCAGCTCCCGCCTAACCCACATGTGCGAAATCTTGCACGAGTGACCTTCACGATGATGGTGCAAACGGTTCACGTCCGGGCAAACGTCACAAGCCATCTATGAGCCTTTCCTGCTCCTCCTGTCGACCCTGCGCTCCTTCACAGCTGTGGGTCAGCGACGACGGCGGCGGCGGCCAGATCAGGGCAAGTGCAAGCATCCTCGCATCCGAAATCGCACACCGATCGTGCGACAACTCGAGGTTTATTGTTCCCATCAATGCAGATCATGGCTGTTTTTCTTTTTACTTTTCTCCAGCGTTTCAGCTGTAAGAGGAGTTGTTCTCTAGCAAATCCCATCTTTTTTCCACCCCCCCCACCACTTCACATCATGACCATCATCATCATTCCTCGGGGTTGCATGCGTCCGTCACTGTGCCTTTATCCACCCTTTGGACGCAATCGCGCCTTGACCACTTTGCCACCCGTCCGTCCGTATTTTCTTCCTACTCCTCCTCCTTGCCATCATTATCCATCGTCCTCACCTTTCGCTGCGAACCGACGATCCTCTTCGCACTCGCTGCCCGCCCTCTACCTCCTCCCAAGCATCTTTTTGACACACCCACCAACTCGGTAAGTCACCGCTCTGTACCTCTGTGTCAGCTCCGATAGATGATGGTGGTCAATCCAGAGTGCCATCGTTTGATTTGCCCATATCCTTATTTCTTGTTTGGTTTTTGTATTACCCGCCCGCACTCCTCCTTACCCTTCTTCTGTCTGTGTATGTGTGTGTGTGTCATGCTGTGGTTTCTTTTGTTTCCACCTCGACCACCCACCCTGATCCATCCGTTGTGATTGATTGAGAGATTTTGGCCCACTCTCTTTTCTTTTTTTTTTTTTTGTTCCAACCACCACTGTGTATGTGTGCACCACTATCCTCCTCTGTTTTTGGTCTGTGTGTGTGTGTGTGTGTGTGTGTGTGTGTGTGGTGTGTGGGCTACTGCGCCCACATCCATTGCAGTGGCTTGGGTTTGCGTCATTTTCCCACCTCGGAGCAGCGAGTGAGGGTGCGCGCGCGTGTGTGAGCGAGTGAGCGAGCCTCTGATCGCGTATCGCCGTCTCTGCTTTTAGTTTTTTTGGACCGCCACCGGGTCGACGGTTCTCTGCTTCTCGTGCTATCGTGACATGCGCCACGCGCAACAAGTTTAGCCATTCTTCCCCCACATTGAACGCTTCTTTTCCCAACCTCCTCGCTCCACCGTTGGTTCGTTTCAGGATTAGGTATGTCCGTTCGTCGCTTGTCATCCTTTGATCTCCCTGGCCTGCTCAGCCGTCCAGCCATCCAGCCTTCCAACATGCACAAAGACTCCAACTTGCCACTCTCTCATCCACACACACACACATCATCATCATCGTCGTCATCATCATCATTCAGCCAGCCAGCCACATTCGCCAACAACGATGCCGATTTTTTTTCTTCACATTGGCACATCCTCTCAAAACATTCAGTGTCTCGTGCCAGCACGACAGCCTTGTTTGCAACAACAAACATATTGATACCATCACACCATCCCATCGTGTAACGGCGCATGCGCCCCTTTCCCCCCCCTTCCTCCTCGTCCTTCTTCTCGTCCTCGTCCTCCTTCTCGTCCTCGTCCTCCTCTTCTTCTTCCACCTAGCCGTGTCCGGCCCATCTCCCCATCTTTCCCTGACGTGTCCACAACGACTGCCGTTTGGTTTGAATCTGCGCATGGCCACCGCCAACACCTCCCCTCTTTCCCTTGCCCCGCTTTGATTGCTCTATTGCGTATTGCAACCCTCCTCTTCTCGAGCTTCCCAACTCACACCATTCCGCGCCACCTGTCAACAACCAAACGTCCTCAATCTCGTGCCATCGTTGACCTCTGCATGCACTGCTTGCTGCTCTTGTCCCCACGTCCAACTTTCTTGTCACCACTGCATTTCCTTTTCATCCACTGGCTCCACCTTTTTCCTGTCGTGCCCGTTTTTTTCTTCTTTTTTGGTTGGCCTGCCACCACACACACACGCACACACACACGGACAGCACCACCACCCTGGCACCACCGCTCATCATCACCACCATCACTGCCAATGTTCCCACTCAATCCTTTGGCTTCATTTGGTTTGCTCGCTCTTTTCTTTGTGCGCTATCAGTGATTGGCCAGCATGGCCTCATACTCAACCACCATCGCGCTCATTCTCGAGTCAAGCCCGACGCCCTTGACCACCAAGCAGCTCTGCTCCATCATCGAAAGCCATGCTGATCACATTCCCATTGTTCGAAAGAGCAAGAACTGGCGTAATGGCATCCGACACACTCTCTCCGGTCATGCCGGCTTTTACAACAAGGTCAAGGGTAGCACCCTCCAACCATGGCACGTGGATATGGACGCTCTCCCCCGAGCCACCCGCAATGCCGTTCATCTCTACCGCCGCCTACGCCAGCAATACTCTACAGAACCCGAGGTAACCCTTGCTCCTCCCGGCCCTCTTCCCGATTGAGAAAGCTTGGGCATGCTTTGACTTGTTACCTGAAGGCTGAGAAAGAAGCTGCCAGTCCCCACTCCACTCAATCGTCGTTCAGCTCACCCCATGTGGCCTCGCTGGCAAATGCAGTACGATTCCTTGCAACGCGTCTTCGTGCACCTGATTGACGGTCGCGACCCCCACACCGCGCTGGACAAGGATGGTTCTACCATGCTCTCAAGCGGATCGAGGCTCGCGCCTTCCATGAGCCAGGGCACTCAAGTTCCCGTCGGCCTCCCCTCCGGCTCTACCAGCGACAATGCAGCCCTGCTGGCCTCGGCCGCCCGCTTTCTCAGCACCAATAACACCACCGGCCAATCTCCCAACAGCGGCATGATCCCCAACTCGGCCATGGTCGGCGCCTTCCCCATGCCCACTCAGTTTGGCCACATGGCCAACCTGCTGTCCCTCATGAGCAACCCCGTGCTGCAACAGCTTGCTCAAGCCCAATTACAAGCACAAGTACAGGCTCAGTCCCAACCAAGCTCAGGACTCGCACAGAACACCCTTCCCCACGACAGCATGCCCGACCGTAGCCCCACCCTAACCACCTCAATGCCACACTTGTCAAGCATGCCCTCGGCATCACTACCTCCCCATTTATCCACCTCGGCCGCTGCTGCCGCCGCTGCTGCTGCTGCTGCTGCCGCCGCCGCTTCCCAGGGCGTTGGTCCCATGACCACTGCCGCTCAACACAATGGACTGCAACAACACTCCCAAAGTCATCCCACTTTGGGCATGGGCTGGAACGTCAATCCTCTCACACTGGCAGCCTATTCAGTTGGTGCCTCGCGTAGCTGAGAGTGGCTACGACAGGCGCCAGTCGCCGCACTGGTTTTCGACATCCCGCCCTCCTTAGTTTTCTTACGGGCAGTGTCTCTTTTTCTATGTCAAATGTGTTTCCTCCGCCAGTGTGTGGTCTGATGTGTACACCCGATGCGAAGGGTTCTTCCGACTCCAGCACCCTTCACCTTGTGTTTCCAGGAGGAGGGGGCGCAAACAGTTGGACTTGAGGCCGAGCCTCAGCTGACTGTCATCTTCAGAGCAAGTGTTTTGAATGGCCTCCTCCTCTTTTTGTTTTGTGCTTTTATGCTTTTGTGCTTTCTCTTTTGATTTTCTTTCCGGGAATACAAGCTACGCTGAAACGAGCAATCGGCAGCCCTCCGTATCGAGGGCCATACTTATTTCTCTTTTTCACGGTTGTTTGTCGTCTTCCTCAAGAGTGTCTTTTTGTCGGACACGGCTGCTAGATATCTACTCAGCTCATTGTCCGTTGTTTTCTTGGCTTTGGCTTAGCCAAGCCTTGTCTCTTTATATGTTTTTGCCGTCTTGCAATTTGTGCCGGGGACTCGTGTGTTGTTTTACCTTGTTTACACGCAGCTTGCTCTCACCACCCTGGGCGTCTAGGGCATTCTTTTTTCTTTTTTTTTCTTTTTAGCTTGGTACAAGTTTCTTTTACTGCTTTCCTCCCCTTGTTTTTTCTTGAGTTGGCTTGAGCCTCTTGTGTTGTTGACATCATACGCATGTACTTGATCTCTTTACTTGGACCCTTTCTTCTTGAAGAAGTTTGAGCCATTATCCAGGGAATGGTGTAGCCCACGCACACTCATCCCCAGTGTTGCATCCTGGCACCGAGCTCCTGATAGCTGGCTCGAGTCGCCACGATACAATTGACACGCATCATTTCATCAATTCTGATCGGAATACCTCGAGCATTATTTGTTTTTTTCACCAATTCTGAAACCACCTCTGCTGTGACCGAGGAGACGGGAGCAAACTTGGGACATGAAAGGGCCCTCTCCACACACGTGGCTGCCACTTTTTGGTCCGGGTTTGAGCACCTGTCACGCTTGAAGACTAGTCAAAGTGCTTCATGGAACGACCGCGTCCTCTAGATTCGATGATGGCGAGCGAGAAATCACAACAGGCAATATTGAGACACTGCGTTCGAGGTGACGCAGTCCTCGTTGGTGAACCGCTCGAGCAGAAGTCAACGTACCGGCCACCCCCTCGTCCGCCACGGCCACGGCCACCGCGACTGCCTCGGCCTCGCCCTCCGCCGCGACCACTGCCGCCGCGACCTCTTCGGCCTCCGCCGGCTTGTTTAGACTTGTTACGATCCACGAGCTTCTGTGCCTTGGCAAACTTGGCTTTCTTGGCCTTTTCCTGCTCAGCACTTGCCTTGCCACGCTGAATGTTGAGTCAAGAGGTGGTGAGTTGGCTGAACATTGCCCATGGCGATGGGGAGGCTGCCCGTTACCCACCTTGCCACCAGAGCTAGCTCGCCCTGCAGGCTTGGGCGCCTCGGCCTCGAGATCCTCGCCAGCGGGTGGTCCATCTGCCAACTCGAGCGGCGTGACCTGCACGGTTACCTTGGACTCGGCAGTATCAAATCGGCTCGTTTCGCTATCGCCCGCAACTGGGGCCGACTCGGCTGGTCCGTGGACGCGTTTATAGGGCATGGATGCATCGAGTCCTCATGAGCTAGAGTAGATGAGAGGGCGAGGGCAGGACAGGCAAGCGTGCTTGGGTGAACGGAAGAGGAGCAGCAGTTTACATACTCAGAATGGCGGGGAGTTGAGGCAGCTTCTGTAGGCGCTTTTCACGCTGCGCGCGCTTCTACAGAACCCAGACAGATACACAAGCAGTTTGAGTCGAGACTCCGAGCCTTTCTGAACCAGGCATGGCCTGTTTGAGCTCATCAAGCTTTACAAGCGAGCGAACGGTTGGGCGCGCACCTCTTGGCGCGCCTGACGGCGAGCTTCCTGGACCAGCTTTTCAGCTTCATCCTTTGCAGCCTGCTTTCGCTCGAGCTTGCGTTTGTGAAAGCCGGTGATAAACTCGCGCCGACTTTCGGAATCAAAGTTCACGACCAACTTGTTGCTTCGATTGATACGCTTACGATGCCGCAGTGCAGCGCGGTTCGCCTCATCGGTCGGGGCCTCGTGCGTCGGCACCCGGCCGCCACCCCCGCGGCCCTCGTCGTCGCTGTTCCAATCGCTCATGCTGCCGCTTTCCTCGTCGCGAATAAAAATGCTGACAACGCTCCGTCACGCTCGATTTGTCAGACAAGAGAATGTTATGGTCACTGCATGCGTCGTTTATCGCAGCAGTCGCTGTTTTGGTTGGCAGGGGGCTTGAAGGTAGCGCAGGGGTAAATTGATTTGCTGAAGATTTATAGGAAAGCTTAGTTGAAACTTGTGCGTCAATAAGTTGACTTTCTGCAGCAGCCCCGGCGCTTGCATAGGAGCCAACACGCAAAATGTGACAACAGTCACATTACAGCTTCGGCGCTGGCGCCGCTGCTGCAACAACAACAACACTCTCTTTCTCTCTCTCTCTCTGTCTCTCTCTCTCTCTCTCTCTCTCTCTCTCTCTCTCTCTGTCTGTCTGTCTCTCTCTCTCTCTCTCTCTCTCTCATTTTTATTTTTGTCGCGCGCGCTGTGCGGTCAAGTGTCGATTTCAGGTACCACACATCATCACAAGAAGGACCTTTGATGCTGGCGGTGGGTGTTGGGTGGCCAGGGCATACGGAGAGGAATGCGGGGCGAGGCTTGTTTGTGGTACACGTACCCCGACCTCGCTCGGGGTTGGCTACAGGGTAATGTGCGAGTGTGGGCTGGTCACTGCACGTGACTGCCTGTGGCCGTAGCGACTGAGCGCGTGGCTCGAGCTGACTGCTGTTCTTGACCTGAACTGCCAAACAGGCAGGCAAGTAGAGAACACGTCAACCGTCATCCCGGGCGCTCCATCACCATGAGCAGTACGTTGTTTGTGCTTCTGCTTGTGCCGCCGTGTTGTGTTGACGGTGACAGGCTACCCTGTCCGTCGCCAGCAATGGCCTCGTGCTCGGGCTCATTCATGCGTGCCATGTCAGATCAAGTCATCGTGGTGGGCGGTGGCCTGGCCGGTCATGCCGCTGCCCATACCGTGCTTGAGGCCGGTGGTGCTGTACTGCTTCTGGACAAGTCTCCATTTTGCGGTGGCAACTCCACCAAGGCCACCTCGGGCATTAACGGTGCTGGCACACGTGCGCAGCGTGCCGCCAAAATTGACGATTCAGCTGAGATCTTTGAGCAAGATACCCTCAAGTCTGCCGCAGCTGGTGTGTCAAGCTAGGCCGCTTGTTTTGGCACGGTTGCCACAAAAGTTTGAGACACGCGCCCCTCGCCTCGATGCTCACAAGCCAAATGAATCTTCTTCACTCAGGCGCCCGACCCGAATTGATCCGCGCCCTGACGCACCAGTCCGGCCCGGCAGTCGAATGGCTGAGGGATGCATTTGGCCTGAAGCTTGACCTAGTGGGCCAAATGGGGGCCCACTCGCGCCCTCGCACCCATCGTGGTGGCGAGCGCTTCCCGGGCATGATGATTACCTATGCCTTGATGGAGCGCTTCGAAGCCACGTGCAAGGCCTTGCCTCACCGCGCGAAGCTTGTCAACAAAGCTACCGTCACCAGCCTGTTGACCAACCAAGCCGGCGAGGTGTGTTCAATGCACACGCCGTCGACTCCGTGATCGACCCACCTGACTGTGCGATGAACTTAATTGCGTAGACCATTGGCTGCGAGTACAAACTGGATGGCAAAATCTACAAAGCTCACGGTGCCGTTATTCTGGCCACCGGTGGCTTCGCCGCTGATTTTGGCAATGCCTCACTGTTGGCAGCGGTGCAAGACAAATGGAGGTGTGTATGCCGAGTGGACACCATGAAAGTACACTTTGCATCACGCCCACGCCTCCACAAACTTGGATCCGATTTCTTTCAAACAATGCGCTCTCCTTGCACCTTGTCTGGTCAGCCAACTCCCAATGTGGAAGTCGATCCCCAATTTGCCCAAGCTCAATGACATGCCCACCACAAATGGACCACACTGCACGGGTGACGGCATCAAGGTGCGGCAATTTGCTTACGATCTGCTCGAGACCTGGACGATGGGTGATTCTGATACTGCTTGGTGCGGCACAGCTGGCCCAAGCGCTGGGTGCCGAGCTGGCAGACATGGAGTTTGTGCAAGTGCACCCGACCGGCCTGGTGGACCCTCGTGAACCTGATGCCAAGGTTCGTAATCAAAGTCTACTGCGGGCAGGACCATTATATGTTCGCTCCATATGCCCACCAAACCTCGTCCTTTGTGACGTGTAGGTCAAGTGGCTTGCCGCCGAAGCACTGCGCGGCTCTGGTGGTTTGCTTCTTGACGCTCGTGGTCAGAGGTTTTGCAACGAACTTGGCAAGCGCGACTATGTCAGCGGCCGCATGTTCCAGTCAGTGCTGCGCCCCGACTGCTCCAGCACTTTGTTTTATTTTTTGAATTTCTATTCTGTTTACTGACTCCCAGTTTTGCAACCCTCCACGAATGAACAGAAATGCGGGTCCGTTTCGCCTTGTGCTGAACAGCCGCCAAGCCGCCGAGTTTGAATGGCATTGCCATCACTACGTTGGCCGCGGAGTTATGCGCAAATTTGCCAGTGGCCATGAGCTGGCTCGAGACATGGGCGTATCTATCGATACTCTTCGCGCCACGTTTGATGCATACAATGCTGCAGCCAGCAAGCAAGCTGATCCCTTTGGCAAGACGATCTTCAACAACGTTCCATTCCGCGTGGATGACGTCTACCATGTGGCTCAGGTGACCCCGGTGGTGCACTATACCATGGGTGGCTTGGCTTGCAACGACCAAGGGCAGGTGCTGGGCAAGGCAGGTCAGGCCTTGCCCGGCCTCTTCGCCGCTGGTGAAGTCATTGGCGGCATCCATGGGCATAATCGCTTGGGTGGTTCTAGCCTTCTGGACTGTGTCGTCTACGGCCGCTTGGCTGGCAGTGCTGCTGCTCGCTTTCTCCTGGAACGCGCAGTGACGCAGGCAGGTCAAGGTCAAGGTGGCACGACTTCGGGTAAGAACCTGGTGGAGATTGACTGGCAGCACCGCACCATCACTTTGCATGCTGGCAATGCCACCGGGGTGGGCGCGGCCATGGGCGCAGACGAAGCCCCTGCTGAAACCAGTACACCTGGCCCAGAGGCGCCGCCTGCACCGCCAAAGGAGCTCAAGACGTACACCATGGAAGAAGTGGCCAAGCACAACACTAAAGGCGACTGTTGGGTGGTGGTGCACGACAAGGTGTATGACCTCACCACCTTTCTAGAGGACCACCCTGGTGGTGCGGCATCCATTGTGGCGTATGCGGGCAAGGAAGCCACCAAGGCGTTCGACATGCTGCACAGCGCCGACATTTTGGACAAGGTAAGACCATGATTGTTGCTGACAGTGGCGTTGGCAGTGGTGCCGGTGCTATTGGCTCTGTTATGAACGATGGTGGCTTGCTCGTGCCTGGGTGCTATCTAGTATGCGGCCGACTTTTTGGTGGGCGAAATTCGCAGTGTCAGTCGACGACCGGCCGCGTCCACGGTCGAGCTCACTATGGAGGAGGTGGCTAAGCACAACACCAAGGAGGATTGCTGGATGGCCATTCATGGGCGCGTCTACGATCTGACCAGCTTCCTGAATGTACGTTGACAGGGCTCAAGTCGCAACTCATACCCCCAGGCCAGCGACCGTGTCAGATGCACCCGACTTTTAATTTTGGGGACGCGGCCGTGCGTATATAGGACCATCCGGCGGGCTCTAAGATCTTGCTCAAGTATGCCGGCCAGGATGGTACGGCTGCCTTTGACGCAGCAGGTCATCCGCCGGACATTGTACAATCCCTCGGTCTTGATCATCTCCACATTGGTGATGTGGCGGGGTGCGTCTTGTCGAGACACACTTTCGCCCCCATCTGCTGTTTTTTTTTGTTTTGTTTTTTTTTCCGGCGCAGCCATGTCGCACCGATGCCAACCAACTCCACTGAAGCATTGGGATGGGTCTGGTCTCATAAATGCCTGTCTTTCTTCACTGGGTGCATCGTCGCGATTGCAGCTATGCCAAAGCTTCATCGGGCACCACGGAACGCAAGGCCCTCGGCGGCGAGCATCGTGATACACAGGTGAGAAAGCCACGGCCATGACCAAAGGTGCTTCAAAGATTTGGCCGCTCACTCCACACTTGACTTTTCAAACTTGGTTGCTCACATTGTTTTGCTTCTCTAGATTGAAGGTATTCCACCCCTCGAGGCCATCTTGGACTTGTGGGACTTTGATGCCGTTGCGCGCAAAGTTCTGTCACAACAGGGCTGGGCCTACTACTCCTCGGGCTCGGATGACGAGGTCACGCTGCGCGAGAATCAAAATGTCTTTGCTCGCATCTGGATGCGCCCGCGAATTCTGGTATGGTCAGCATGTCCAGGTTTCGATTCTTGGCTTTTCTTCGCTCGGCCTTGTTTGCTTGTGTGTACTTGCTACGTGTGTGACCTAGCTTGCATGTGCTGTCTGTGGCTCAACCAAGCGCCCCCCCCCCCCCCCC